GAACGTTCTCTAGTGTAGCTTCAGAATCCGCGAACGATGCTAAAATAAAAGCATATTCAACCACTATAAGTTATACTAAGACATTAAGATGTTTAAGACGTGAGCCCACAAAATTTTTGTAGATATGCAATATAATATGCTTCTCAACCGGGTAAATAAAACATTGACGTGATCCTAACTGCGATATTGCTTGAGTTCTACTAGTTAAGCATTTCTGCATTTTCTAACTGCAAAGATTTCTATCAGTTAATATAACATCAAGTACAGCAGGGTCTGCAACAGTTCCCACATAATATAAGGTATAATGCTCTTACTCACATGCTTCAGTAACGGTGGAAGCTGCCAAAGATGGTGAAGCTTCTATGGTTCCAGTAAGAACTGGCGTTTCGTGTTTCTTTGTTGTTATCGTGGATTGCAAAGTAAGAGGATCCAGATGTTCCATTGTAGGAATTGCATTGCCATCAGCAGGTTCCTCGCTAGATTTAGAGTAATATATTGTGCTACTTGTAAGAACGGAGCAACAACTACTCCAGTTTCGCAGTGCTGGCTAACTGTATAATCATTTCATAGTGACAGGAGAACTTGATATGTAGTATTTATAGACAGTGTCTTTTAACGATACGCAACGCTTCAAAATGTCACGCCGCCGCTTGCCTAAATACTTGCAACAACATTTTTACCTTTACTGAACGATCAGCCAGATCGTCTAGTCAGATACGACTGCGCTCGGTCCCCTTAGAAATTTTGAAATAAAATTGTTAGTTTTTAGATAGAACATTTTCTTGATTATAAAGTATTTTCTAGGAGAGCAAAGCTCAATATTCTAGAATCAAATCCAATAAATGCAAGCATACGAAATGATAATCATGTTCTCAATCAATATGTTAACGTAACCATGTACACACCTGCATCCTACAGCAATTAAGCGACAAACCAATAAATCAATATGCATATCGGCAACCGCTGCCATTGACTTCTAGCACCCAGGAATTTCTCTGACCATCATCGTAATCAA